AGCTATAACCTTTTAAGAATCCATGGTAGGCTACAGAGTGAGTTGATCTCATGCTTTTTTAATTTGACTTAAAATAGAACTAAGGCAAAAGCAATTAATCATACACTTATGCGACATTTCTTAAAACAATTATTTCAGATTTATTAAGGGTATTATTAGAAAATTCATTACTTGACGAGGGAATTCCGCATTAGAGGAAGCAATGAGTGTGATATATCAGTTTTCAAGTGAAATTTAACCTGGAATTCATAAGTAATAATACAAGTTGACCAGCAAATGACACAAGTGATGTTTGCATGTAATATTTGTCCTGACATTCCAACGAAGATAATTTGCAACGGGTTTGTCACTCTTGACTTTGTGTGACGCTTTTTTTTGAGGGTTACTAACAAGTAACAACATGATTTCTTGTGTAATTTGGTGAAAATAAGCACTTGCTAATTTTTGCAAATAGCACTAATCTTGCTTTATGGGCTTGTGCAATTCTGTTGTCTTTGAAAAACTTATTTGTACTTATTAACACCAAATTGCACTCAAAATCAAACCTATACATTGTAATTAATTCAATTGCAGAGAATCTGATAGTGAAATCAGAAGTTTCAAGGGTCAAACCCCTGGTTTGTGGGGACTATTAAAGATTATATCCCAGTTTGGCTTGGTGACAAAAAAAATGACAAGTTGTTATATACTTGTCACAAATGACCTTAATTTCGGCCATGTTGCCAACACATTTTATGTTCTCAGTGGTAGAGCATTATTCTGAGGGTGAAATCAGAAGTTCCAGGGGTTAAACCCCTAGCTTGTGGGGACTGAGATTATTTCCCTGCTTTGGCCTTGTGACAAAACAAATAAGTTTTTATTTAGGAAGGCAGGCGCAGTTGTTTAGAAAAGTCAACTTTAGTTGTTTTTCTTTTCCAAGTTGATTACCAGTCAACTGCAGAGGATAAGGTGAAGAGCAAATTATGAATGGAAAGTCAAGATCAGTTTTCAACTTGGAGACACTTTCATTTC